CAAAATATAATTAGCACACCTCACAGAATTAGAGAAAATAATCCTAAAGTTCATTCAGAGCCAGAGACCTGGAAGAGCAAAAGCAATTCTGGGCTACAAATGAAGACAGGGGGCATCACAATCCCTGACTTGTATTTATACTAGAGAGATACAGTGATAAACACAGCATGGTACTGACAAAAAAACAGACCAGAGGATCAATGGAACTGATTAGAAGATGCAGAAACAACTCCAAATACACTCATCTTTGACAAAGGGGCCAAACACCTGCAGTAGAGGAAGTATAGGTTCTAAAATAAATAGTGCTGGACAAATTGACTTTCCCCATGCCAAAGGCTACAATTAGACCTAAATTTATCACCATGTACTAAACTAAAATCAAAGTGGATCGAAGATCTAAATTTGTTAAAACAGAAACACTAAATCTGCTGGAAGAGAAAATAGGTAGAACTCTTGAAGACATCGGTTTCAATAGGTAGACATCTTGAAGACATGAATTTATCTGGCTTTTTCAGATTATATCGTCATTGAGGATCTAGTGAGATATTTTATTGAAGGCATATGATGAGATACATCTACATTTGTGCTATGAATGAAGCATTGCTACACCTTGCAATTATGCTATAGATGAATACTCCAGAATTAAATTAAATGGATTTAGAATATCATTTCCTAGCTGTGTATGTTTGAACTAATTTTAGTTTTGAATTTCCATGGGCTTATTTTCTTTCTCTCTCAAACAAGTATGATAAGACCATATGTTTTACAGGTAGCTAGAGTAGTATTACTGAGGCTTGTTCTCATAAAATGCCTGGACTGCAATCTCATGCTAAGGCAGAAGCAGAGGGCTGCAGACAAGCAGGCTGCCCTTGTCTCCACCCATTCCTTTACCATCAGTGGTGCCTCTCTATGTGCATAAATGTTATTTTATAATGCATTTTATTTTTGTAGTATTCTTACTGATGTATATTCACTGAATATAATCATTACATTCAATTTGAGGAATTGGTGCCTATATATATTGTCTCAATCAATTTTACTTCCATTTTCCATTCTACATCTCCCAATCCCTTTTCTGACTACATAAAATTTAAAACTATTCCTCCATCCATCAACAAGAGCCCCTCATCTCCAGGATGTACTTGTACATTTGCCTGGAATGATTTTTCTTTTTCTCCTTTTATTTAATTACATTCTCAAGAAAGACCTTTTCTTCAAGGGTCAAATTACAATGACATAAGTCAAAATACCTGATCCAAAACTCTCTCTCACAACATTTACCTTATTTTTATAACAACATACTTACCTACCTTTCACTTATAATTATGAATTTCTTGGGAAGTGCATTTATTTTGTTCATATATGCAATCCTAAAGCTTAGTGAAGAATCTGAAACATTTTGTGGACTAGAACTAAAGAACTGCTTTCCTCCTCTTTGAACAACTACTGTAGGCATAATGACTTCATTTCCCTTTCTTCTTAGATAAAGGGGATTCATATATAAGAATTTTTTATTTCACTTGATCTAGTTAAGCATTAAGTATTTAAACTTTCATAAATTTCTTTGAGTTCAGAATTTGAATTCTAACGCTGTTCGTTAATTTTGTTTTTAGGCTTCATTTGCTGAGTTTCTGGGACTTCGTCATTTTGCTGATCTAATGATGCTAACTGTGGCCATTGAAGAAGTCCCACCAACTTCAGATGAAAATGTCACTGTGACTGAGACAAAATTCGATAATGTTCCTGTCCGTGTGTATGTACCAAAGAGGAAATTGGATGCACAAAGAAGGGCTGTGTTCTTTATCCATGGTGGTGGCTGGTGTAGCGGAAGTGCTGGTAGGTGAATTTTTTGAAAGGTGTCTGACCCTGGAGTAGTTTGCAAATGTGTCACCACAGCTGTATATTGTGCTCTTTAGCAAAGTCACTGCAGTGTTTTTGTCCCTCTTGCTTTGATCTCTGACGTTTCAACGTTCCTTGAACCTTTGAATCACTCTTTCTCATCCATATAAGACTGTCTTCATTAAGCCAGGCAATGCTAAGCAAACACAAGTCTTCCTATTATTGAATTACTTTAAGAAAGCATAAGCACTAGTTCAGTCATTTGTATTTGGTTTTATAGGCCTCAGTAACATGTTAATTTATTTGTATGCTCACTGTTTGCCTACATTTCTTTTGGGAACATTGTAGGGATTTTAGAAGAGACAAAATTCTTCTTGGGCCTTAAATTCTAAAGAAGACAATCTCTAAACGATGGATACATAAGTAAACAATACAATGTATCATAAAATGACAAATCTAAATAAAAATAGATTAGAGTAATCAAGATTGAGTACAATAGTTGTCAGTTCCTAAATGTATAGAACTATAGTCAAAAGAGGGTACATCCAAAATTAGAGAATTGCAATAAAGACCTTAGGTTCAGTCATGTGAGTAAGACTTAACTGATTCTAGTTGTAGAATATACTTGCAGATTCTAACTGCAGAGTTTCAAGTGAATGCTTGATAGTCAATAATTTACCTCCCGTTGATGTATCAATAAACTAAGGGAAGGGAAGAGGAGGAGCATAAATTAGTACAGAAGAAATGTTACAGGCTTAAAATTAATTGAAATGCATCAAATGATATGAGAAATTAGGAGAACGAAGTAAGGAGGGGAGAAAAAGAGAGACAGATGAAATGATACCCTGTTTCTGATAGGACGACTGGGAAAGTGAGGACAGATTCTGGAGGACACAGAAGTAAATCTTGGGTAGAAGAATGAACAGCAATCAAAGCACTGAAAAGTGACCAAAGTGATCAAAAGACACAAAATGAAAAGAAAGCCAAAGGTGAGAGTCTCAAGAAGAGAGATTAACAAGAAGTAGTGAATGGTGAAGAAATGCCAAGTAAATGGGACAGAAATATACATTTTCGAGGTTGAATATTTTATGTTCGTAAGGCTGAGCAGAGACTTGATGGATAGTCACATAAATACACATTCCAATCAGCAAAAAGTAAGATATAAAGAAATTAGAAGAATGATTTCTGAACTTACACAGACTTAGTGGTAAAAGAAATAAGAAAATAATAGATTGAAAGGAGAATTAAGTAAAAGCATTTTATTTGATTTTTACGTGGAGGAGATATAAAAAGTTAGTAGATGCTCTCAGGTTTGAGGCAAGAGGGGTACAAATTTGAGCCCAGCTTGGACAACTTAATAACTTACTGAAACCTTGTCCCTAAATAAAATAATTTTGAAAGAACTTGGATAAGTCTAAGTAGAAAAACTGGTTTCAGTCTTCAATACCACAAAATAAAGTGGGTAGAATTAAGAAAATTGGGTGGCATACAGAGTATGACAGATTGTTGAACAATGAACAAACATTACAGAGGAAATGGAAGCAGGGAGAAGGATGTAAAGCATTGGTAAATTAATTAGATGTAGATGGAGAAAAAAAGTTGAACAAAAACTACATGCAGTCTTCTTCCTAGACAAGAATAAAGAGAGACAAACCAGACCTCAGGCGGACAGACAGAACAGAAAATCAGAGAATTCCAGCTTTTTAAGGCAGCATCTTTCTATCCAACTTATTTTCAGGTGATGTTTTTTCCATACAAATGCTGATGGTTGTTCTATGTTATACAAAATCTGTTTGTAACACTTAGGTCACATATCCATCCACACATCCATTGAATCAGTGGCTTCTCTATTTTATCTGTGTATATGCATCATGTAAAACAAACCAATATTGCCATAGGATGGGACCTGGGATCAGTCTTCTGGAGAATGCTGCTGGCCAAGGACAAATGACAAAATATACAGAACAAGAAGTGTAAAGAAAGAAGGGCAACTAGAAAATTCAGTGAGCAATTCCACCAAATTATAGGTGAAAGTTTTCTTAGGATAAGTACAGCATTTTTTTTTTGTTATTGTTATTTTGGTATACAGTAGGTAGAAAATTGCCAGAATCTAAAACAAGCACAGTCAATACTTGTTTTACAAAAATCCTTCCTTTCTTTTGGGGATTCTCACTAATATTTGACTTTTATTCTTTTATTTAAGCTTTACCTAATTACGACCTGCTCTCAAGATGGACTGCAGAGAGACTTGATGCCGTTGTCATATCAACTAAGTAAGACATGTGTTGTTTTATTTTGTGTCCAAATACCTTAACTACCTGAATTCTCTCCACTGTCTTGAATAACTGATGCCTGCTTGAATGAAGATTTGCCAAAACACATTTTTTGTTTGTTTGGTTTTTTTTATTTTTCTTTTTCATTTTTCTTCTGTTACCAGGAATGGAACTCACTACCTTGCGCTTGACAGGTGCCGTGCCGCTGAGCTAAATCCCCAGCCCCACATATATGTTTCTTAATTGACACTGAGGTAATTAAAAGGCTAGCTCTAACCTGAGTGGCACTGAGAAAAACAAAGTGTGTGTGTGTGTGTGTGTGTGTGTGTGTGTGTGCATGTGTGCATATGCACAGGCTGTGTGTTGCTTGGGCAGCTAGAAAAATTGACAGTAAAGATATTTTTTTACATAAGCTTAAATTGAGTTATCATTGTACATACCTACTTGGTTTAGATTAACTTTCAACTATAATCTTTAAGGTTAGGGTTGCGAGAGTCAGATGATTATAAAGGCACATCATAAATTACTGCTACATTAGAGGTCACTTTGAAAACTAAGTGGTAATATTCTTGAAACTAGCTTATCATAGTGTCTAGCACTTGGTGGTCTAAAACAAATTTTATTCTCACACTGAGTAGTCAATGAGTTAGTGTAAAATAATGTGTTGGAGCAGTAATCTATGTTTGAAAGAAACATTGAGAGATAGTAAAATTGGAGTTAATATAGTAGAAGCAAGCCGTAAATTGTATAACACTATTTTTTTTGATGTCCAAGATAGAGAAATCCATAGAAACAAAAGGTTAATTTATGCTTTAAGATGAAGGTGGGTGAAATGAAAAGTAGGAAGTGTCTAGTTATTAATTTTAAATTTCAGAAACAGAAGAAAAGGTGAAGAAATAATGGTTTCATAAGCACTTGTCTAGGGACATCATTACAGAAACATAATTGTGCTCAATATTGTTTGTAACTGATTCCCAGGAAGTGAAGTATTTAGAATATTTTTTTTCCCGTTTTTGAGACAGGGTCTCGCTATGCAGTTCAGGCTGGCCTTGAGGTCATTTTATAGCTCAGGCTGCTCTCAGACTCGCAACGATCCCCCTGCCTCAGCCTCCCAAGTGCTGGGATTATGGGCATGTGTCAACACACTCAGCTAGAATAATATCTTTTTTTTTTTTTTTTTCTGTTTTTCTCCAGTACCAGGAACCGAACTCACGACCTTGTGCTTGCCAGGCAGGCGCTTTTGCCGCTGAGCTAAATCCCCAGCCCCTAGAATAATA